TCCCAAAGACCAAACCAATACTTACTAGGAAATAGTCTATAATATATATATTTCAACACGTGTATTAATCGTAAGTTAACCAGATGTGTATAACCTGCCACAAAATGGACCGTTCAAAAATCGCCCACTACATATGCACATGCTTGCTTCTCGCTACACTGCAAGGAGAGCAGGCTATCCTCTGCAGATAGTTTGTAAGCATCAAAGATCGGAATGAAGAAAAAACAAGTAGCACATTTGTTTTATGACAAGTTATTCCCTAATCAGTATCTAAATTCCATAAGACATTTACTCTATTTTACAATTACTGTACGTATCTTACAATTTAATTTACTGTATTTAAAAAAGAACTAACAAAACCTGAAACAGTGCTTAAACATTCGTCACTTGTCGACGTTACCACATGTCTGAACAATAGTGAGGAATGTGAGTTGAGTGCATGTAAAATAAACTACGCAAAGTACCGATATGCAATGTAAACACGAGTCACTTGTCCGGCCTACTTAGCGCGTGAATTTCTGCATTGCCAAATGTATAAGTCACTTGTTGATGTTCACAGCGATGTTGGTAAAGCGGTGACAGCTTAAAATGATTTATTTTAGTTGAAGTTTTACGTCAAGATTTTGACTTCGACTTACGAACTAACAATTAATGGAAAACAGATCAATCTGGCATGTAACATATGTTTTCGACTTTCGTTTTTATTCGACTTAAATTTATTCGAGTTAGAGCAAATATTAACCATTGTAAATATAGGGAAGATGAAGTGACATGAAAATAATTTTGACTTTGACAATTCTTTGACTTTGGCGAGTTTGACTGTATTCATTTTAACACTGTATACCAGGGGTTCTCAACTGTATCGGGATAAAAATTGTTTATTGGGCCGGGGCACCTACGCCATCCAAGCGGTGTAGGTGCGAGCTGGGGGATGGTTTGGGAGGGGTGTTCGCTTCTCAAATTAGAAATCTTTTGAAAATAATAAGCTGCTAGACACTCATACTGTACAGGGCACCTTGACCTAAGTTACCCTTGTGTTTGGTAATACAAAAGTCAAAATGTCATTTATCACACAATGGGATATCAGTACAGTATTTCTTTACATTTGCTGCGATAGTTTTTCTGATTTGATAGATCAAATCGCTACAATTTGTGGGACAATATATAGGCCTAGTTGGAAAAACATAATTCAAAATTATTAAGGTTTCAAATCTTGGCCCAAGCCAAACTGAAAATATTAATTCGGCTTGCACTCACAGGCCAGAAATGGCCCGCTGGCTGAAAGTTGAGAACCCCTGCTATATATATGTATTGTATTGAACACCCTATTTCTCAAAGAAACACACAGGGTAGTATATACAGTACTCTCGATAAGTGCAGCAGCGCTTATTTGAGAGCTTGGCTTATTCAAGCATTTACGGTAGTCTTCCTAGACTTCGGTTCTTTGATTTCAAGCATACAGCTATCGTTGCATGCATGTAATGAAATGTAAAAAAAACCTCTTTTAAATCTTAATGTACAAATCAACTCTACAATTCTGTACATGAAATTATTCAAGAATTATGAATACAGTATTTACTCACTATTAACAGTAGAAATTCAGACCATCACATGAAATTGAATGCATTAAATTTAATAAATCCAAAAGCTTAAAGACAATATATACTGAGCCATGGCTTTTATGGCAGGCCTGGATATAAGTACAGTAATATTTGATGGAGGTCTTTGATGATGTTTGGACTTACTGCTGCTTTCCTAATTCCAGTTTTTTCTTGTTCTCCTCCATTTCCTTCATCTTGTCAATTCTTGCTTGATGGCGCCATCGGAAAAGACTTGGAGTGTCGATATTAGGATGGGTCTCATCCTCATCATCAGACACCTGTGTGTAACAATAACATAATAACCCAAAATGACATTAAAAAATAATAATAAACAACAATATAATCAACCAACCAACTTTCCAAAACAAGTACATTTTAAATGCAAAACAAATTATTAGCCCCACTTTTATATTATTAATTGTTTTAACTGAAAGAATAAATCATTATAAATAGTTTCCATCCATTAATCTAAAAAATGTTTTTTTCTATATTTTTCATTCTTGGGGCATACATTCTGAAACATCAACCACCAATACAATTCATACCATTAAAGTCCATCACCTGAGGGAAAAAAATATTATGTTGAATACATTTTCACTGAAAGCAAGTTTGACAAGAACTTGGGACAGATATTTAATTAACTAAAACTGGGGAAATATGAAAATGATTTTTCCTCCACAGCTTGGCTTTAAATTTTCTTTAAATTTTGACCTAAAAATTGCGATTCATTTCAAATTGTTCAGAAGGATTTCACTACGATTTGTGGAGGGCTACTTTTTATATGTGTAGGGGCTTAGCTCGTCAGAAAAGCAGTTCCTCCTCAGAAAATACAACCCACAAAAACAAAATTTAGGCTTATATATTTGATTTCCACACAAATTATAAAGAAAATTAACCTTAGTCCAGTATGTCTCAATATTAAACCTTAAACAGTTTTTTTATACAATTTTTTTGCAGCTCACTAGGCACACACCATCCCTTACCTATTCCAATCCTGAACACCTCTAACACTTACACACATTTTCGTAACAATCTTTAAAATTTTTTGTCATTTAATGTATGCCGTGCACTGTGGACTAGAATTCATTGGCCTACAGTAGTTACTGACAGTACCTAAAGGAAGAGTGCTGGTGCTTTGTGGAAATGCTCAGGTTTTGACACTATGGGGTATTAATATATTATTAGAGACTATTAAATACAATTTCAGAGCACTTCAGACATATGTATGTTTATTGATCATTTTCTCCTTCTAAAAGGGTCCAGAATCACATCAGTATGTCAGGGTTGTAGCTGTAGAAAACTAAGGTTGGGTGGTAGACATTTTGGGTGGAATGGGTTGTAACATTGGTAAACTCTAAATAAGAGTGGATTTTAAGGTTGTGTAAGGGGGTTAATAAAGATAGGTGGAGGGCCATGATATTAGCTTAAGACTGGGTGGAAAACTCCAAGACTGGGTAGCCCTGCCCACCATAACTATATCCCTGGTATGTGACGGATTAAAAAGGGCCAATCAGCCACTGCTCAACAAAAATAAAATAGCAAATGGTGAGGCCTATTTGTTTGACTTTATTCAGTGAAAACACGAGGATAACACATAAAAAGCCTGAAGAAGACCTAGGCCTGTTTTCAGTGGGCCCTTATGGTGATGATTGGGCACAGTAAACCGGGAGACAATCCCCTACAATTTTCCTGAAGAGTGTACTTCATTCTTTAACATGCACATGGGCCATTTTTGCACACAGGACCAATGGCTTAAATGTCTTATCCAAAAGACTAGGTAGGGCCTATAATAATTTATTGACAGATTGCGGAGTAGAGAAATAAGTTAAATTCTGTCGGTTTTCTATATTCTTTGTAGAGTATTTGAGAATAATTATCCAAAAAAGAATACAATGTAATGTTCAGACTCTTCAAGCATACAGATCAAATTCACTTCACTTTACTATTCATATAATCGACAGAAAAGATAACACAACGAAGCAGTTGACATGTTTATTTAAAATCACTTTATTGCACAAAATAAATAGGTAATGAAGGACACAATAAAGAACCAGGACATGAGCCAGGACGTGGCACCACGCAGGTTAAAAAACATAGAGGCATTTACAAAGACATAAGAGAAGAAAAGAAATACAAAAAAAAATACTAAATATCAAAATTGTTTTTTTTTAAATTATCAATTAAAAATAACAATTATGGAAATCCATAAAAATCTGTCGAATGTGGATTTACCCCATCTAACTAGGTTTACTTTTGTGTGTGTCACCCACAGAGTTGACAAGGAATTTTAATACTCCAACTGGCAAATTGTATGCAACACTCTTCCAGTGGTGACACGATTCCTGAAGCAACAATAATAATAATACTCAAACATTTATAAGGCGCCAATTCCAAGAATGATCAAAGGCGCGAGCGTTATTACCCCTGGTCACTGGATAACGTACACTGGCAAACCAGCACAAAGTGCAACTTCCTCTGCTCCTTAGGAAGTATCCCTTGTCGCTCGCTACTTCTTTAGCGCACAAAACTATGAACATTCAATGCCACAACATCCTACCAGGTACCCATTTATACTCCTGGGTAGAGAGAGGCAAACATATATAAAGTGCCTTGCCCAAGGACACAAGCAACTTGCCCTGAACAGTAAGACTCTTCACGTGGAGGCCCCAATTCTCCTGAATATTCTGCTTAAGGGATTTTTTAGCAATGGTTTGAATCTATATATGAACATTCAGGTGATTTAGAGGCATTATACATACTTTTGCATTCGATGGCAATAAACATTTTTCTCGTCCAGTTAGATTCACGTTCCACCCTACTGTCAATACAGGCGTTAACAAATGGACCACCTTTCAACCGGGATGAAATGGGCTGAAAGATGGGCTTCCTTGTATAGGCGTAAAGGACATATCAGGTCAAGGCCTTTGGGCATGAAAGCGAAGGCAAGGGTCCCAGGATGGGGGATTTCCAGCCAACGCTTAACATATTTATTGGCGAGAGCATCCAGCCTGTCGAGATGGGAGACACACACGTCATTGACAGTAAGGTGGAACCTTCTGCTGTGCATAAAGTAAGAATAAAAAATGCGTAACTTAAATTCAGATCGAATGGGAGAAGAATCGATTTTCTTAAGACCATTAAAAATTAAATTAAAAAGGTAATCGAAAACATTGTTTTCTTTGTTTTTGAAAGTAATAAGGGAACCAAGGAACTTACGGGACTCGTCTTCAACTGAAGGAATAACATCAGGACCCAGTTTAAATGGTATGTTCACGGCTCTCCCAGGGCTAATGGAGAACGATCTACACTTGCTTAATTTAAAGTTAAGGCCTAGGGAAAGGGTATGGGATCTGAGTTGAGATAATTTGTTGGTGGGTACACTTATTGGAGGCAATTAGAGAAAAATCGTCTGCAAATGGAGTGGTAATAATTTTAGTATCTTTTAGGCTACTGAGTAGCCTTGAGAGAGCTCTGTCTCAAGGTATAAAATAATTGGATCAAAGCAAAGCAAAAATATAATGGGTGATAGAGGGTTACCTTGGAAAATCAATTTTTCCTGAAATGAAAAGAGTATGACGTCCAGTTCTTAGTTCGAATACTACTTGTAAGATTTGAGTAAAAGACTTTTTATATATAAATGAACAGCAGGAGCTATATTGCATCTAGCGAGTGACTAATGATTAAGTTCATGGGGAACGGATCAAAATGCATCCTCAAGATCGAACCAGGTTATATGTAGGGGAGTATAATCCATCGTTACGGACGGACACTTTTTCAAAACTTTCAATTTAAATTCTCCAAAAACATTTTATGCCACTCTTCTGGTTCATTATATGTTTCATATGCAAGAATTGTATACACTCTATCTTACAAAAAAAATTTGTGCGGATTGATATTGTTAGTAAAAATAGAACAGCGAAAATGTGAGCGTTACGGAAGGACAAGATAGAATTCGCGGTTTCTAATTTTTACAAATTAGCAGAAATTTCTATTAGGGAAGCGAGAGCTGACAAAAATGTTTCATTGCTAAATTAAGTTATTTAATACTTGTCTATTAATGAGACTTGGTTTGGTTACTAAATACTTCCTTGTCTTTGAGTTATTAACAAAAGAAAATGTTACGGATGGACATTTTTCTTTTGTTACGGACGGACACTTTTGCAACAAACATCCTAATGATAAATATTAATGAAAAAATTTGATTTTTAAAATGATAATTGACTCTTCTTAAATTTAGGATTATAACAGCCTCTCTAATGATGATTGTTTGTAAAATGTTTTATGTTCAAGCAATTGAACTGTACATAAACTGACATTCGTCAAACCTACAGTAGGCCCTATATAATTGCCATAATTTCAGAGAAAATAAGTTATTAAACTAAATAATATCTTGAATTAATTAATTTTTCATAATAATTTGATCAAATTGCTACCTTTGAAAAATGATATTGGGGTGTAATAATTGATCAATTGTTAAATTGAAAGTGTAGTTTGGTTGAACCATGGTAAATTTAACATACACTGCCTAACATGTCTGTCCGTAACACAGATATATCTGTCTGTAACAATATTTTAATTAATAGCTTTAATTGAAATTTTATGTCCAAAATAATTGTACCATACATCTACATTTATAAGTGTCCAAGGAGTTCAGTATGAATCGTAAAAATGTAAATTTGAAGCATATGAAGGAACATTACACCCAAGTATGTTACGGATGGACAATCACCCTGAGGTTACATTACTAAACGAATATTTCCACCAATTTACTGATAGATTTTATGAGAAAAAAATTGCTAAACATAAACATCTTCAGTATAATTCATTTCAACATTGTTTAACATAAATTGGCCAATCAAAATGTATTTTATGTGGCATGTCCATCCGTAACAACGTTTGTTACGGACGGACACATTTTTAATTAAATGTGTAATTAAAATTTTAACGTTAACAAAATTTTTGTTGAGTTATTTTGTAATCATCAATGTAGTAGAGATAAGTTAATATGTTTTTTAATTGTAATCTATTGTATAGAAGCATGAAAAAAACATTTACTGTAAGCTAATTTGCGTTTCGGACTGACGTCTGAATTTTGGACTACAGCTAATTAGGTATTTTTACTAATTACCAGCAATATTTACTAATTTTTCATGTACAGTAGAACCTCGTTTTTACGCACCCCAGTTATGCGAACCCTCGGTTTTATGTACGCCTCATATGGACGATGACGTCATCAAAAACCCCGAAAATATTCAAAACAAACGGCCCTTTTGA